TCCTATCCCCACCATGTCTGTCACCTCCTAATTTCTTTCCATCTTTCCTCCATTCTAGTCCGTCCTTCCCTATGCTACTAGAGAGATATGTTAACAATGAAAGGCAATTTATGTGACCCTGTTAGGATTTATGTTAAAAAGTATGTGCATGTGTGTTGACTGTATAAAATATAAACTTTCCATGGTGTAAAGGCCGTCATAGTGCAGGGCTTTAGAGAGTAAAGCCTGTCTCCCTCGGTTCCCTGCGCACAGCCTACATGGAACTGCTTGTGGCTGCTCAGGTGTCCCTGGCTCCCTGGAGTGGGCACTCTTGCAGATCCTGCTCTGGGTGTCTTGGAGACCCTGTCCTTCACCACCCTTGTCCACTCTGAACATATACATTCATCCTTCCAAGTCTTAGGGGTGGTGCCCAGGCTACCTGACACCTTCGCAGACATCTTTCTCTCCCCACCCCTCTCTTCCTGTTGCCTCACAACACTTTTACAAACCTCTCTATGTATTGGACTTTGTCCCACAGTGCTGTAACAGTGTGCTTGCTCCTTTGCCTCCTTGCAGGACTGTGTGCCCCTTTTCTCATATGTTTGTGACTAGATATCACTGAGATCTAGTACAGTGTCTGGCACCAAGTGTGCACTCAATAAGGACTTGCAGGTGAGTGAGCTGAGGAGTCTGGGCTAAAGTGGGGGGGGGGGCGACACATGCTTGTGGGAGATGAGAGGCCATCGGAGGAGGCATGTTGGGGCACTCTGCCTCTTTCAGAATTAGACCCAATCCACTACTAATTGATAGAGCTTCATCAGATACCACTTCCTTATGTGACTTGTTTCAGTAATCAAAAGCCCTCACACTCAGAAAGTGTAGACTTATATTTTATTCAATCCCTATACACTAGGGCTGTAATAACAATGAAACGAGAACTGTGAACTTCGATGCCAAAATGTGGGAACCTGTTAGATAAGCCTTAAACCACATACTCATGATTATTGAAAAGTGAGGGCTTTGCATACAGTGTCTCTTTTCCTGTTTAACTTTCTCTTTATGTGTAGTTCTGCTTTATTCTGGTTAGATATTCTGGATGCGGCAGCTCATTCTTTGTCCTTTTTTATTTCTACAACTTGCCAAGCATGATCACATGTGGAATTGTGCTTTACAAAAGAATGCCTGCCTGAAGGAGCATGGGACTCCATGAACACAATGCTAGGAAGGAAGACATGGAAGACTATATCTCATCACCAAGTGGTTCTCCATTCGGTTTCAATAGTTCCAGTTTCCTTGGAGATGGGAGCTCACCTTTTACTTTTTTGTAAAACTGCATCACAGTTGGGAAGAATCTTTTTGTGGTTCTGCTCAATTAATTTTTACCTGAATTTCAGGAGTTGTATTGCCTCAGTTCATTTCCAGATTGTATCACTTCTCATACCTTTGAGGCATCTGTGAATGAGTTTTAAGATCTCTATTTATAATATTGCATACCTTATATTTTTGTACTTGGCCTGAGAGCCTGTGTCTGTCAGGGGATAATGCACATATTTTCTTTTTCTTTTATTTTTAAAGGACATTTACTGTCCGTTGTCGCGTGTACAGAAAACACATTTTTCCTGCCCTCTTCCGTTTTTGGTGATGGTGAGAGACTTTAACAGGTCTCGCTTCCCCATAATTTTCTATGCTGGTCACAGCTGCATTGTGGACAGGATTGATGGCTTTTTGAGAAATCTATGGGATAGTCATTATAATATTGTTATTAAGAAGAAACTTTAAAACTTAGACCTTTATAATTATGCTTGCTGTCTTCTTCTGAAGGCAGGTGTAAGGGTAAATAACGTAAAGTGCTTTGATCTCCTCAAAAGCAAAACAGTTTAAGGAGGAAATATTATGGGGATTATGTCCCTGGCAGAAAGCACTATGTAACTGTCAAGTGTGTGTGGTGGTTAACATTAAGATTTGGTCTTAAGTGCCAAAATGCCAATTTGAAGGAAACCATTTCCCCATGGATAACCAAAGTAAAGAAATTCATTTAAACAGAGTTTAAGAATGAAGATGGGTTTTAATGAATGCCATGTATATTGATTGATCCAATATAATCTTATAATTGATCCCATTCATTATCTCTTACCCTTTCGTTTTGTTCTTTCCCCATTTTAAGTATTTTTTTTTCCAGATTGCTCTTTATCTGATGTAATACTGCACAGTGGAGTATTTATTAATGAATTTTGGGAGTAGATACTTGCCTTCTCTGTGGCCATGTTTCAGTATGGACGGCTTGTGAGGCCTCTGTCCCAGGAATAGCAGAGTGGACTCTTGGTGGCAGTGGAGAGTCTGAACCAGGTGATGCCCAAGGTTCCTTCAACCCTAGATCCTGACAAATCTGATAGAACTTTACTCATTAAAAGCCTGAAGTCTAAAAGATAAAATGGTTTTGCCTCTTGGATGTTTAGAACTTAAGGAAATGAGAGATTCAAGCTCATCTTTGTGTGTTTACAGCTGGAGCCTAGAAAGAAAAAGTGAAAATGAGGTTGAGGGTAACCTCGGTGCTGCTGACCAGTTTTCTGGCGGTGTTGTCTGCCCACACCCAGCACAATACCCTGTGGAGCCTCTTTGACACATCTTTGTCCACTCTGAGAGCTCACATGTCACATGGCCTTTGCATATACAGCCCCTCTGTTTCTCCTTGCTCCCTCCTCACCTACCTCTGAATTTTTATTTCCTATCCAATGCATTTCTTTCTGAATTCTCTTTTGACTATTGTTTACCCCATACTTAACTGGCCCCAGGCATTCCATCCTTGGTGCTTTGTTATTTACACCGATCTGTTTTAGAACAACTTTGTATGTAAGTGTTATTCATTTCTCAGGGGACTGAACTTGCTGAATATGTTACATGAACTTGTAATACCTCAACCATTGGAATGTACCTGTTCAGTGAGGACATTAAGTCAGTGTTTGGGTTTTCATCTCAGCTCTGTGATGGTGGACAGGTTGCTTAACCAATGCCTCATTTTCTCATCTATTAGATAAGGATATTCACAGGGCCTCCCCCATAGAATTAAGAAGATCAAATAAGTTAATACATGTAAAGTGCTTAGAACAGTATTAAGTAAGCATTTAATAAGTTTTAGTTATTATCTGGACCAAAGCTAAGAAGTTATTAAGAAACAAATTATTAGTAGAGTTTACTTAAGAAGACAAAGCAAGTTTCGGGCTTAAATAAAATGAGGTTAAGTTTCTCTTAACAAAGATCTTCTCCAAATAACCCAAATAATAAGGCTGAATTTAATAGATATTTCCTCTCTCATGGAATAGTCCAACATTGAGCAATCCACAATTGCTATAGTCCACAGGGTCATTCAGGAATCCAGGTTTCTTTCATGTTGTTACCCTCAGAAAGTTGGTCTCACTCACATAGTATATAAGCTGTTCTGTCTCCTGTATGTGTTCCAGGCCTCAGGGAAGAGCACAGTCAGGGAAAGTGGTTTTATTTTTAAGGAAAGGAGCCAGAAGTTGTATGTATCACTTGTGGTGCTGTTCCATTGTCCTAAAGAGTCACACCTAGCTGCAAGGGAAACTTAGGGGACTTCCCTCTTATGGACCGGTTAAGAGTTCTGCCACTGAATAACTAAGACATTGGGAAAATTGCTTAACCGCTCTGTGTCTATTTTTTTATCTTCAAAATGGGATGATAAGATGTACCTTATAGGGTTATGGTGATGATTACAGTAAGTTAATACATGTAAAGCATTCAGGACAGTGCCTGGCACAAAGGAAGCATTATTTAAATGTCAGTGATTGTGACTGTTATTTTACTAAAAGGAAGCAGGGAGAGTGAGTACTGGGGGGCAATGAACAGTCTTCCCTGAGAGGAAAACCAGACCCGCGCTCCCTAGCCCGCCTCACTCCCTGAGGTTTCTGAACGGCTGCAGCTTTGCTGTAGTTGCCGCAGGTCCCAGGAATTTTGGGGCTCCTGTCTTGCACAGGTCTTGTTTAGGCCTCCTTGGGTCATTATGAGGAAGGTTTATGAGCTGTGTTTAGGGTTTTGACCTCTCAAATTTTCCTTTCCAGATCTTCTTTCACTGTAGTTTGTCATGTATATACTAAGGAAATAAAGGAAACATTCTATTTATAACTATATTAATTTATCATTATAACATTAATTCTTCCTTATGGTATATATATTGGTAAAAAGATGGCTGTAAAGTGAGGTTTCATTTCTTTTCTTTTTTTAAAAATATATTTTATTGATTTTTTACAGAGAGGAAGGGAGAGGCATAGAGAGTTAGAAACATTGATAAGAGAGAAACATCGATCAGCCGCCTTCTGCACACCCCCTATTGGGGATGTGCCCACAACCAAGGTACATGCCCTTGACCGGAATCGAACCTGGGACTCTTCAGTCTGCAGGCCGATGCTCTATCCACTGAGCCAAACTGGGTAGGGCTCATTTCTTGAAATCCATTTCCAGTTGATGTCAATTAGAAAATGTGTGTTAATGGGAAAGGCAATATACAGTCCAGTTATTTCTAACTCCTCCTGCTTTTTTTCTTCAAGACATTATTATCTCATATCTCTTAATAACACAGTGGGCTGCATGGTCTATATATACAGCAACCTTGGCAGTTCTCAAACGTTGCTGCTTTGGGCACTATTCTAGGAAATGGTTCTGCATGTGCCATGATAGAATAGTAGGTCAAATAAATTGGGAAATACTGCATGCTGTATCTGCCACTTGGAGATTCATAGGGCATATTAGCATATTAAAATTTTGAGAAGGGTGATAGCAGAAAAACCTGTTTAATTGTCTTTAGCTCACCTGACAAACTCTTGAAAATGAACTTTTTTTGATTTATTGGCTTGCTTGTGAGTACCACTACTATAACTATTCTGGAAAATACGGTTCTGTATATTTGGGTTTGGGCAGCATAAAGAGTCCTGACCCACCTCAAGGTTTAACATACCAGGCTGCTAATTCTGTGAGGTGACTGAAATTTTGCTCTTATTTGTCATCAGAGTCAAGGTGTAAATATAAAGAAAGCCCAGTAACATGTTCATCTGGAAAGAAGGTATCAGGAAGATGGTCCCATGTGAGGTCAGTAGAAGTTTGACATTGCCTGACGGGTGGTGTTGAGAATTCTCTTCTAGGAATTAATCCAGAAAGAGATATTTTAAATTTACACTTTTCAGAAGTCTGTTTGAACTCTAATGATAAATTACATTAATTGAAAATTAGACTAAGGTTCTGCATAAAAGAAGTAATTATATCCATATCAAGAACATCTGTGGTAGAAGTACAAAACTGGAGATTTTTTTAAATTTATAAAGTACAAACTATGATGGATGCAGAGTTTTTTTGTAGAGTGACAGCTGTGAAAAACTTAGTTCTGCTTGTCTGCCAGAGATAGTCCATGCATAAATGGTATTTTGAATGTAGCCATTTAACAATTTAGACACACTGTGGCCTTCTGTTGTGTATAAATATTTCTGGGTCTTGTTTCAGAAATGAGCACTACTATACCATTAGAAATTATAAAAATGAGGCCACCTTAACAAAATACATGCTTTTAAAAATGTTTAATTCTGATTTTAAAATACTCAACATAGACATTTAGAAGATATAGAAAATATAAAAAAGAATTAAATCTCATAATTATACTATCAGTAGCCATTGTTAATATTTTGGTTTATATATTTCAATTTTTCTATGAATATTTAATATTTTGAACATATTAGCAATATCATATGTACATTTTATTGTACTGTTGTTTTTGTTAATCCTTTTTCACTTATATTAAGAATTTGTGGTAAATATAATTTCATCATGTAGTGTTACATTATCTACTTAATCCATTATTATTGAACATTTAGGTTATTTTTAGTTTTTTACCATTATGTATGACAGAATTTAACATCTTTGTGCATAAAACTTGACTTGCATTTCAATACTATGTACTGAGCATAGAACCCTCAAATTAGAATTACTAGGTCAAAGAACATGAATACTTTTATAAGGGTGTTGGTGTATGTTGCTAAATTATTTTTCAGGGAGATTATTACCAACTAGAGGCCTGGTGCACAAAATTCATGCATATGTGTGTGTGTGTGTGTGTGTGTGTGTGTGTGTGTGTCTCCCCGTGTCCCTCAGCCCAGCCTGCACCCTCTCCAATCTGGGACCCCTTGAGGGATGTCCGACTGCCCACCAGGATTGGGCCTAAACTGGCAGTCAGACATTCCTCTCACAATCTGGGACTGCTGGCTCCCAATCAGTCACCTGCCTGCCTGCCTGATTGCCACTGACTGCTTCTGCCTGCCAGCCTGATCACCCCGAACCACTCCCCTGCCAGCCTGACGCCTAACTGCTCCCCTGCTGGCCCGATTGCCACTAACTGCCCTCCCCTGCTGGCCCAGTCACCCCTAACTGCCTTCCCCCGCTGGCCCAGTCACCCCTAACTGCTCCCCTGCTGGCCCAATTCCCCCCAACTGTCCTCCCCTGCAGGCCTGGTCACTCCCAACTGCCCTCCCCTGCAGGCCTTATCGCCTACAACTGCCCTCCCCTGACAGCCATCTTGTGTCTATATGTGGGTGGCCATCTTTGACCACATGGGGGCGGCCATCTTGTGTGTTGGAGTGATGGTCAATTTGCATATTACCTCTTTATTCGATAGGCTCAAGATTCTCACTAGTGGTATATTAAAGTACTATTGCACTTCAAAAATTTGGTAATTATATTGGAAAACTAGAAGCCCATTGCATGAAGATTCGCGCAATAGGCCTTCTTTCCCCTGGCTGCTGGCATCGGTTTTCCTCCGGCACCCGGACGCCGGCCTTTGGTCCCACCACAGCGAGGCTTGGCTTCTCCGCTGCGGCTGGAGCGAGGCTTGGCCGCAGCGGAGAAGCCAGGCCTCTTCAGTCTTCAGTCTTCACTCTGGCCAGAGCCTTCAGTCTTCGCTCCGCGCCTGCGTATGCAAATTAACCACCATCTTTGTTGGGTTAATTTCCATAGTCGCTCTGATTGGCTGGTGGATGTAGCAGTGACACCAATTTGCATGTTTCTCTTTTATTAGTGCAGATAATGAAATGTTGCTTTCATACGCATGTTTTTTATTCCTGATGAAATTAAACATTACAAAAATTTATTAGCTACTATTATTTTTTCTTCGATTTTCTATTCATGTTCTTACCTAATTTTCTATTGTGTATTCATGGGGATGTCTGTGTTTTTCCTTTCATTTGTAAAAACATTTACCTACTAAAGATATTAAGCTTTTCTCATATTTTTGCAATATTTTTTCTAGTTTTCTTGCATGTGTAATTTTATAATTTTTGATATGAAGTTTCAGATTTTTATGTATTTAAGATCTTTTTCCTTGTAATTTTTTTCTCATTGCTTTTATGTTTTAAATATTTTTAATTCTGGAATAGTATAAATATTCAACTTTGTTTTCTCTAGTTTTGTGACTATTCACATTTATCTTTTGAGTATTTTAGATTTTGTTTTGTGGTAGAATGTAAGATACAGCTCTAAACAGTTGCTTTTGGTGGTGTTTTTTGTTTGTTTGTTTTTTCCCTTTCAAAGTAGTCAGTTTCTGCACACAATTAATTGAATAATCCAATTTCTTTCCCATTGACTGCTGGTCCTTCATCTTCTGTTACTTTATAGTTAAGGGTCTATTTCTGTAGAGAATATCTTCTGTTCCATTGATTTGTGACTTTTGTTCTCAAGTAATATATTATTTTAATTATAGCAATAACACTAGTTTTATGTATTGTTTTTCTGTAGTATATATCCTTTATTTCTGATTCAATGTTTTTGGTTAAGCTAGGACTTTTAGCCTAGTGTTTAGTACAGGTGGTAATAGGTGAAACATTTTTGTTTTGTTCCTGATTTTTAATATAAATGCTTTAATGTTTTACCTTTAAATAATTTATGGGAAAGAAATATTCTTTTATTTTTGGCTCTTGAAAACATTAATCCAGAACGGATAAAGAATTTTATCAAATCCCCTTTAAGTATCTGTATTAGGCCTGAATTTAGAAGTTGTTTATAAAGTGAGTTTTTCTAAGTGAATCACACTTTACCAGAACTTGCACTGTGAATTCCAAAATGTGTCCCTAGAGAAAATGCTTTGGTCACGAGCAAAATACATTTTTTGATGCCAGCATGTTTTCTTTCCCTCAAAAGGCAGTAGAACATTTTCTTAATTACCAGATAGAGAGAAAAATATCTTCAAGCAAGAGATCAAGTTTGAGAATGTCTCTTAGTCCTTGGCATTATTTAGAGGATCTGTTTTAGAAACACGGTGTCCAAAAACTCAAATTCTAGAAATTTTTGTTCTTCCAATAAATACTTTAATGAGAACCGAGGTCTGTAACATACATAGTAATAACTGCCCTGGCATATGCCTTCTACTCTAGCCCAAGTTTGGGGCTAACCAACTACATTTAGTGCACATCAAATTCTAGAAATCTTGAAAGTAGAATCGCGCTAGGATTCAGAATTCTTCTACTGATTGGCTGTGACCTTGAAGGTTCCTCTTCATTGACTTGCTTGACCATCTGTACCAGCATTGTCCAGTAGAAGTTTTGTGATGGTGGAAATGTTCTTTACTCAGCACACAGTATGTAGACACTGTCCATCTGTGGCTGTTGAGCACTTGAAATGTAGCTCGTATGAGTTTAATTTCATTAAAATTTAAATAACCCTGTGTGGCCAGTAGCTATTATATTAGACAATGCAGGTATATACAGTGAATAAGTATATATCTCTACTTAGGTCATCTATATTTCTCAAACAGCTTCTTGTGACGATGGCTAGGCATCTCCTAAGAACCTTCTTATATTTTAAGAATTTGTAAATTGGGAGATTGTGGCAGGGTGGGGAAGGCTCTGATGTGTTCTGATTCTTAAATTATTGATAATATGCCCCCATGGCATATTATACATGGCTATTGACTGATTCCTTTATCCATGTAAACATGATATTATTTATAGTAATTGACAAGTTAATGTATTTTCATGGTGAATATGAAGGGTTTTTTTTTCCTCCTTTTTGCAGCTGGTGGTTTAATGCTTCAAACCCAAATTAACTTCTTGATAATATGCATTGTAGCACTGAAGAACCGGTTCTTACACAAAGCAACCTTTTTATTTCTAATGTTTTTAAATCTTGTGTTTTAGCTATTAGTTATATGTAGGTGTCCTAGAAAAATCTTCTTTAGAAAAGTTAATATGAAAGGGAGTGGATCTATATAGCATTAGATATGACATACAGCCATGAATGTCTTCATGCTTTGTAGCTCATTAAAAAGTATTTATATTTGGTATAAAATTACTTCCCTGTCCCCCAAATTCTGGTACGGGTAATTGAATAAAGCAAATATATTTTATATTTTAAATTGTCTTGAGGACTCAAGTGTTATATGCAATATCAATTATATATCTTTTTAGTAAGTAATCTACTAGGGCATTGGCCAGTACTGTTCAAAAGTTGGATTTGCTTGCTCTGTCATGTCCATATTTCTAGGAATTTCTAAAAATTCTCTGTGCATACTGTAAAAGTTTTAAATAAATAAATATTAGTAAAGCATATATTAGTGTCATTCTTTTTAGGAGTAGAAAGAGAGGCATGCCATGAAATTTTTAAAAAGGAAAGGAGATTAGGAAGTAATTATTGGAAGTAGTTAGGACTAATTATAGTAAGTTATGATGCAGAAAAAATTTCAATGCTAGTTTTAATTTCTGGCTTTAATACTTACTCAGACTTTGGGCTAATAATAACATTTCTTTGTACCATCAAGTTCTTTATTTGCAATGCCCATAGCTTAATACGATCTCTAGGGGTGGGCAAACTTTTTGACTCGAGGGCCACAATGGGTTCTTAAACTGGACCAGAGGGCCGGAACAAAAGCATGGATGGAGTGTTTGTGTGAACTAATATAAATTCAGAGTAAACATCATTACATAAAAGGGTACGGTCTTTTTTTTTTTTTTTTTAGTTTTATTCATTTCAAATGGGCCGGATCTGGCCCGTGGGCCATAGTTTGCCCACGGCTGTGTTAGATGATAGCCTGTGTACTAGTTTAAGATGCTTCC